ATAAAATTTGATTTTTCTTAACAGAAGTGTGTAGAAAATGTCACAATTTGGTTAAAAAAGAAGGTTTTTCAGTGCAAAACCATAATATTTGCCCCTTTGCCTAGAGATTCTTCAGGTTCGTTGCTCTTTCGACACCCGCCAACATCCACTTAACGCCTCGTGCAAACGTGGGAGAGTACTTTTAATTTCTCGCAACAGCCAAATGTACTCTTCCTCACCCTCTTTTTTGTATAATTTGACGAGAAGACCATCAACAGAAAATCAAGGGGTGAAATTGTCATGAGATTTAACATTACTTCAATCCTTAAATCACACTCTGCGACGGCATTTCACTCAGCGATTAAGGGACTCTCTTTCTCTGCTCATCTTTTATTGCAGCACAGCCACAAAAGAAATGCCAGGGGAAAATCAGCCGTAATGCAAGTGTAATTTATTCGTACCATTTGAATAATTTAATCAATTAATTATCCGAAATTAATGAAAATATTTTAATATCAAAAAGCACAACGTAATCCTTCCTCTAGATTAGAACTTCTAATTTTATTTAACTTCTACATAGCATGAATCAATTTTTATCACGCGAACTCCCACGACAGCATAATTTAATTTACAGCATGGATTCAAAACTTTCCGATTGATTGATAAATTACTCATTGAGAGCCATCAGATCTCCTGCAGTGAGTGGATTACAAGCACCAAAGTCCCGCGGGACTGTAAAGACGGTGAAGAAGAAGAGGAAAAAAGGAACTCGTGATACAGAAAAGGAGAGGAGATTGAGAAATTGATGGTAGCATTAATCCATTACTTTTGCCCACAAATTCAATTTCGGAAACTTAAACCCATTCTCTCCACGACTCGCGCGCACTCTTGGGCCAGTTGTAAGAAGAAGACAAGGGTGTGAAATATGAAACCGATAGAGAAGCAGCAGAAGTAGCAGCAGCAGTCTTAGGGAAAAGGTGGGCGCGTGGGGGTGGGCTTTCTCATCTCCTTGATGGTGTCTTGGGAAATTGTCGAGGAATTCGACATGGACTACCAATGTAAAATGCTGTTGCGGAGCGAAGGTGTGTGTGTGTGTATGTTAAAATTCAAGCAAAGTTGAGAGATTTTTCCCAGTCACTTCACATTCGCCATGGCAAATCTGCTGTGCAATAAATTGGCATGTGAGTATGAAAAGTCGAACGTCAACAAGGGGAAGATATTCTCAGTCGGAATTGGTGTACAGCAAGAAAGAAAATGTATTAAAGGATTGTGATTCATTTTAGTGGAAGAAAATCATGAAAAATGGCATAAAAACGTTAATTTTAGAATTTCCAGTAAGATTTTAGTTAGATTTCGGTCAAATTTTGGTTATTTTCTAGTTATTATTGATTTTACTCTTATTACAAACAATCCATGATGTCTGAAGTCCTAGAAAGTGTTGAGGATTCTCAATACAAAGTGTGAAAGTGCCAGGAAGTACAGATTTCAGGTATATTATCTCTCCCTTGTCCAATGCTGTGAGTTTTCCCTGTGCCATCAGCATCAGAAGTTAAGGATGTGTGGAATACATGAGAGATTAAATTCACAATGTTGCCAAACTGAATTTGAATGGAAATGACAATCGCCCGTAAGCGGCAGGAATCCGGCGGGAATTGACAGGAGAAAACGACAACAGGGCATTGTATAACGCCAAGGTATTGGAGATTCTTGGCGTTGACTTTACGGATTTCTGGAAGGAAACTCTCACACACTGTCACCACCATCCAAGGCTACGACATTTCTTCATCCCCCGCCCCGAAGGCGACCCACATGACTATGGGATTGGCGAGTGGATGGAAAACAATAGCAATTTATGGGCGGTAGTTTGGTGTCCGAGGGATGATCCTTCGGCTGCTGTCCAGATGAGAAGAGAGTTTCGGGGGTTTATAGACATAGCATGTTGTCTCATCGTCCATATCAAATAATCTGGGCGAGAGATTTGTGAATTATTGACTTGGAGATATTGAGAAATTCTTCTTTACTCTTTTAATGTCTCCCAATAATTTCATTATTCAACACAAACCTCGCAAAATGTTAATGAGCGATTAATAAATATATTCTTCATATTCTTATGTATTCTACACATTCTGTGTATCCTTTAATATTTCGACTGAAAATTAATCGACCACTTGATTATTATGCTTAAAGCAATTGCAACTGTCATAAATAATTTTCCTCCCCTTCGGGCGCATCCCTTTGTCCGCAAAACAACCCGAGAAAGTATCACATTTATTGCCAATTGCAGATCCTAATAATAATTCTCAATGTTGGCCAATTCAATCTAACTAATTGGCTCTTTGCCGTACAAAATGATGAGACCATCGAGTGTGGATGTGCGCGTCTTTTGGACTGCTGCACAATTCCTCCGAAGTGCTTGAGAGGGCGCATCAAAGCCATTGGCAAAATGCACTTCGTCTTTGAAGTCATAATTAAGAAATGCTTTGAGGATAAAAGCTCCTGCTGATGCTCTATTGTGGCTCAGAAACCATCTGAACAATTGCATTTCCACTCTTCCGATCTCTCTTGCCACTCTTGATGTCTCGCAAGGATTTCGAACGAATTTTCCTTCACATTCAGTGTCACTTTTTCTCCGTTTTAGCAGCATTAAAATTATATGCATTTTATGTCAAGCTTAATGCTCATTATCTCTTATATGTAATAGCTGCGGAGATTTTTATTGCCACTTGATGGAAAACTCTTGGAAAAGTGTCTCTTTTGGCTTAAGAGACGGTTGAAAATAAAGTAAATTAATTTATGTCACTTCAGATGACATTTATAAATATTTTCCACTCTCTTGAAAAGTATAATTTTCTCAACTCCTCAACTCAAGTTTAGGACTCGCGCATCACCATAAGCTATAATATTATCCAGTCTTAAAATAAAAATCACATTTATTGCTGAGGTGTTGAAGATTCTGCACAGAAACTTTGGATGTTGTCAAGAAGTGCATTTCGTTGTATTTTTTCCCATCTTTGTGAATGGATAAATCACAGAAATGGCCCTTAAAATTGATATTCAAGAGACATATGAAGTAATTTTCGAAAGGAACATACAAAATATCCTACAGAGTATCGCCAAGAAGTTTTCCTTATATGCAACTTGCAAAAGCGCGCGCAAAGATCATTAATGGAAAATATGCTGCAGATGTTCTGGGGAAAAATAAAAATGCATCTGAAGAGACTTTCATCGTCGAATTTCATCTTGTGCGCTGACTTTATTATTTACATCCATTCGCTCTCAAACAATTTAGCCATTGTAATGTTGCCTCGCCGTTAAGCATAAACGAAGCCATTATACAACACGGTGTGCAAGAAGAAGAAGTCAAGGGGCAAATCACGAGGCGATTTTTGAGAAAACTTAATGATCTTTAATCAAATAATCAATTATTTGAGTAAAATAATTAAAAAAAAATGAATATTTTCCAAAATAAAATTGCTAAATATTCAAATTCTTAATAGAATATTAAGAAAAAGGTTTTTTTTTAAATCAATGAATCAGAATATTTCCGAATATTCGCAATTATTCAATTTATATTCAAAATTTTGATTGAATATTCAGAAAATAATCAAAAAATTATCAGAATTTTGTACGAAATAATCAAAATTTGAAATAAAATCACAAATAATAAAAAAAAAATGATAAAATAATCTCAAAGATAGTGGTCTCAACTGGCAACTGATTGCCCCCGTGGAAGGAGTGCACTAAGCGGAGGTAAGAGATGAGATTGCAAAGAAGTGGTGCAATTTGGATGAAGAAAAACGCTATGGAAAATCTTCTCTCTCTCATTCAAAATTTCTCAACCCTCGCAATTCACCGTAAATTTTCGACTATAAATCCACATAAATTGGTGCAGCATCTTTTCCACTATATATGGTGGATTTCAAGGGGGAGATAATACAGTCAAAAGTGATGTACAATTCAGCAGAAGTGCTTCAGAAGTGAGTACTTGAATTCATAAAATTAATTACAGCAAATTATAGGTTTTTTTTTAATAAAAATATTTTATATATTTTATTGTGACTAATTATAAAAATTATATTTTTTTGAAGAAAATAGAACAGAGAGATTTTGAAAATATTTGGGACTATTATTTCTGACTGTTCTTCTTTTGGAGGAGACAGAGAAGCAAGAATAAGACAACCTGTTTTTCCAGATATGTTTTTCATGTGTCTTCTTGCCTCTTCTATTTGGTCAACTCTCTGTTTGGGAATAAATATCTAAGAGTGATCTATTGTATACATAATAACACACTAGAATCACAAATTGTTTTTAGCTTGAAAGATTAGCTAAAATATTAGCTATATAGAGTGTGGAAAACATGAAGCTTAAATATTAAGTATATATTGAATCCTGTTTAGTAATATTTGTAAACATATAAAAGTTCATTGACTTAATGGCAAGAACGTGCAAAAAGTGTCTGTCAAATATCCAGCGAACCACAAAAGCTAACTAAAGCAAGTATTTTAGCTGAAAAGTGCTAAGATTTTGGCAGCTCTCAAACTTTTAGAAGCCCTCCAGTTTCTCAGAGCCTGTAAATCTCTCACAATTCAAATAGAATTCATTTGTGTGTTGTTATCATGGAGTATAATATTGAAATGACATGATTTTACTCTTCCTGGAGTATTCCTGAAGATATTGTGGCGGGAATGCCACTGTCATGGCGGCCTTCTCCTCCTGACGAGATCCTCGCTGATAGCATTATTTCGCGGTAGAGGCAGCAGTGAGAGAGGGGACAGAAGGAGTTGGTGTCAATTAGGTGATTTTGTAAAAAAAAAACCACATTTTAAAAATTCCTACTAATTTTTTCTTTCTGTGTATGTAAATTTATTCAAAAGAAGTTGAATGAACGGTTCACACTCACATTTCTATTTTTCTATAATGTATATAAGCAGATCAGGCATTCCTAGAAACATATCTTAATGCCTCTCTTCTCTCATTCTGAAAGAATACTCAGAAGTGTCAACATCAATTGGTGTAACGCAATGGAAGTGATTTTCACGGTGAATAAGAAAAAGTGCAAGATTGTGGCGGGTGAAATGCCACCAGACACGTCACTCAATATGTACTTGAGGACGCGTCTTTGTCTCACGGGCACGAAATTCATGTGCCAAGAGGGCGGATGTGGTTGCTGCATTGTCACCATTCATGGCTCACACCCTGTGACGAAGGAGAACTTCACGCTGGCCGTGAATTCGTGTCTCTACCTCGTGTACTCGTGTCACGGCCTCGACGTGACGACAGTGGAGGGTTTGGGTGACAAGAAAACTGGTTACCATCCCATCCAGCAGCGCTTGGCACAGTTCAATGGCTCCCAGTGTGGCTACTGCTCACCGGGTTTCGTGATGAATATGTATGGCCTGTACGAGAGCCGATTCGGCAGTGTGTCAGCTGAGGAAGTGGAGGATAGTTTTGGTGAGAACATTTGTCGCTGCACTGGATATCGTCCTATCTTGGATGCCTTCAAGTCCTTTGCAAATGATGCACCGCAGGAGCTGCGAAATCTCTGTGGGGACATTGAGGAGTTGTCCGTCATGGTGAAGAAGTGTAGCAGGAGTGATAAGATGTGTTTCAACACCTGTCGCAGTGCTATTCGCGTCAAGGCGGCTGACAATGCCGAATGGCACAAAGTGTACACTTTGAGTGAAGTTCTGCAAACACTGGAAGCAATTGGTGACAAGAAGTATAGATTGGTGGCGGGAAATACGGCACACGGAATCTATCGGATGCCTTATGATATTGAGGTGTGTGTTTTTTTTATCAATTTTAATTGTAAAGGTGGACCTTCTCCTTCCGATTAGATCCCCGCTGCGTTCCATGTTTCTACAACGGCACATTCGCGTTCAACAGCGATCGTTCTCTCTCTCTCTCGGTGTTCTCTTCAATTCAATGCTACAGCGCGGTTCTAACAGGGAGGAGAAGGTCCACCATTCAAGTCGTGAAGGAAATAGTATGACATGAACTTTGCCATCTATTTCCACTCGAAGACTTATCTGTATTAATGTTATTATTATTTTATAAATTTGTGTTTTTTCCCCCAAATTTCCCTGCACAGGTGTTTATTGATGTGTCGGCTGTTGCTGAGCTGAGGACATACACCATCGGGAGTACGATTGTTCTTGGTGGAAATGTCACCATTACGGAATTCATGGCAATCCTACTGGAAGCCGCCGATCGTACGAACAACTTTAACTACTGTCGCACAGCGAGAGACTATATAAATCTGATGGCAACTGTTCCAGTGAGAAATGTCGGAACAATTGCTGGGAATTTGATGATCAAGCATGATCATCCGGAATTCCCCTCGGACATCTTCCTTCTGTTGGAGACAATTGGGGCAACGTTGACAATTGTGGACACGGGTAATGTACCGGAAACCCTGTCACCGCTGGACTTCCTCAGCAAGGATATGCAGAAGCATGTGATCAAGGAAGTGACATTGCCTCAATTGACACCCAGTATCTATCGCCTGCGACTCTACAAGATCATGGACAGAGCACAAAATGCCATTGCATACATGAATGCAGGCTTCCTGTTTGAGATGAGTCAAGGATCTGGTGTCACGAAATCCACAAGAATCGTCTATGGTGGTGTGAACTCGAAGTTTGTTCATGCAACGTCAATTGAAAAGATTCTCAAGAGAATGAATCTCTTTGAAAACACAACCATTAAGACGGTAATTGATGCAATCTACAAGGATTTCATCATTGACGATACACTTCCGAATGCATCAGCAATCTTTCGACAGAAGCTCGCTATTGGATTGTTTTACAGGGTAAGAAATAATATCTCTTACCGTTTAACCTACAGACGGAAGAGAAAAAAATGACCCCCTTTTTTCGTCAGATTTCGTCATAATTAGCCTCCCTGGGATCAGTTTAGTCGATTTTGCGCGAGTACAGATAGAGCCAGGCTTCACCTAGCTCAATTATAGGTCTCTATATTTTTTTGTTTTTGTTTTTAATGTAATCCATCTCATTTCAGACTGTTCTTAGTCTTGCGCCCAGTACTCAAGTTCGTCCAATTTACAAAAGCGGCACTTTTTCCATTCCTCGGCCACTGTCAGCTGGCCAGCAAACGTATGAAACTTTTCCACCCAAGTATCCTATAAGTCAGCCTATCACTAAAATCGAAGCTCTGTGGCAATGCAGCGGCGAAGCAGAATATGTCAACGATATCGAGGCATGTCATGCACTTTGGGCAACTTTTGTCCTGTCAAAAGATCCAATGAAAACCATTGCCAGCATTGATCCGACGGAAGCACTGAAAGTACGTGGTGTGAAGGCTTTTTATAGCGCCAAGGATATTCCAGGAGTCAATTCATTCATCTCGCGGCGACACATTTCTGACGTCACCACAATTGAACCGGAAGAAGTATTTTGCAGCGGAAAGGTTAGCATACATAATTTGTAGTGATCTGAGCGATTGATAATACAAGTTTAATAATTCTCTCAGAATGCGCGCATTTACACGGAAAATGCACAAATAAGCTTTCTTGAAATGCGCGCATTTATGCACAAAAATCTCAATTTTTTGTCTGAAAATGCAAACAGCATTTTCAAAATGCGTCCATTTGTGCGCAATTGCATAATTTGTAATTAATATTCATTCCGTAGGTTCTCTATCATGGTCAACCTGTTGGTGTGATTGTGGCAGAGGAAATGTCTCAGGCAGTGTATGCTGCTGATTTGGTGAAGATCAATTATGAGAGCAAAGTGGAGGAGGAGAAAGGAGCTTTTGCTTCGCTCTATAAATACTTGACAGGAAGTGTGGTGACAGAATCAAAGGAGAAAATTCTCGCGACGCTGGCAGATGTTCTGGAGGAGGATCCCAACTTGACTAAGGATCGCTTTCAGGCGCCAATTGTGGTGAAAGTTGCAACACAGCAAGGTATTGGTGAGGCGGAGGGAAATGTCAAAGGACATCTTATGTGTGGTCCACAGTATCACTATACAATGGAGACGCAGCAAACTGTGGCAATTCCCATGGAGGATGGCATAGATATCTATCCTAGCACACAATTCATGGATGTCACCAATATGGGCGTTGCTGACGTTCTGGGTGTGAAGAATAGCTATGTTAGAATACACATTCGTCGTCTTGGCGGTGCTTTTGGCGGAAAAATCTACAGAGCAACGTGGATTTCATGTGCAGCAGCAATTGCTTGTCATCTGACAGGTCAACCAATTCGCATGGTTCTGCCCATGATAACAAATATGCGTGCAATTGGCAAGAGAATTCCAGCCTTCATCGAGTATAATGTGGATTTTGCTAAAACAGGCGCCATTACGAAGTTATTTGCCGATGTCACGCACGATTTGGGATGCTCGATCAATGAGAGAATGGAGGATTATGCTAATTTGTTCACAGCCAATACATATGTCACCACAACGTGGTCTGTCACATTTCAGTATGTCATCACGGATGCAGCATCGAATTGTTCAATGCGTGGTCCAGGATCTGTTGAAATGATCGCCAACACGGAGACAATTATGGAGAATATCGCGTGGGCACTTAAGATGGATCCGGTGAAAGTGAGATTGGCCAATATTGACAGTAGTAGTCCAATGGTGAAGATCTACAATGATTTCCTGTCCTCATGCGACTACTACAAGAGATTGAATGAGGTGAATAAGTACAATACGATGAATCGATGGAAGAAGAGAGGAATTGCAACGTCCATTATGCAATTTCCCACGTACTTTGGCAGTACTTACGAAGCACTGGTGTCAATCTACCATGCTGATGGCAGTGTTGTCATCAGTCTGGGTGGAATTGAAATGGGTCAGGGTTTGAATACCAAGTGTGTCCAAATTGCCGCTTCGATCTTCAACATTCCAATGGAATGGGTGAGAGTTGAACCCGCGAATAACATCGCCAGTCCCAATAACTACATGTCAGCGGGAAATCTCACCGTGGACTCAGCAGGAATGACGGTGAAAGGTAAGAGTAATTATGATAAAGGTAGAGTTTTGCAAGAGCTTTCCAATGACACCAAGATCATTGAAATTGGACAAATAGAACCGAAGATAGACCGTTTTAAAGTTCCTAACTTTAAACCGTCATAACTTTGGTTCCCTTAATTTTTCCCCTTTTCCGTTCCACTTTACACCTCCTTTGGGGTTTAGTTGCTCACTACACTTCTCTTACGATATGCGCGTGTCTGCACTTCTGTAACTGCGATGTTTTAGAAAATTATTGTTTCTTATTTATAGGTTGCTGTGACACACTCAATGGTCGCTTAGAGCCCTTCAGACTGAAGGATCCCCAAGCATCCTGGGCCGATATCGTGCAGGCGGCCTTTGCGGCCAACACAGAACTCACAGCAGTGAATAAATTCGATCCTAGTCAGATGGATCCGTACAACGTTTACGGCGCTGCGTGTTCTGAGATTGAGATTGATGTGCTGACGGGAGATTTTCAGCTTCGTCGTGTGGATATCGTGGAGGATGTTGGTCAGACAATCAGTCCGATGATTGATGTGGGTCAGGTGGAGGGAGCCTACGTCCAGGGCTTGGGCTACTGGCTTCACGAGAAGCTGGTGTACGATCGAAGTACCGGTGAATTGCTCACTGATCGCGCGTGGACATACAAACCGCCAGGCGTGAAGGACATTCCGGTGGATTTCCGTGTGACACTTCTTCAGACACGGTCGGATGGTGCTGGAATTCTGGGTTCCAAGTGTGTCAGTGAGCCGAGCATCTGTCTGGCCGTTTCGGCACCACTTGCACTCAGGAGAGCTCTGGAGTCTGCACGAAAAGACGCTGGAGCCGATAATATCTTCATTACAATCAACACAGCGACAACTAAGGAGGATATTTTGATTCTGTGTGGCACTAAAGATGATCAGTATGTCTTCTAAATTCCTCTATTCCCAATTGGTTTTTGGTACGGAAGCACTTCTTTCTCTGGTTTTTGGGTAAGAAATCCATATTCTTATTATTAGATTCTTATTTCTGTATCTATTATCATATAATTATGTATCATATACAGAAAAATATATACATTTTCATGATTTGTAAACAGAAAATCTTTGCTATTTAATGTGTTTGTTTTTTTTTAAATTTATTTTTACGCATCTTTCCTCACTTTTTCTGTCCAAAAAGCAAGCTCGCGGGACAAAACCGTGTGGCATACCAATAAAATCATTCATGTGAGAGAGATTTAGCATTGCATGAATTTTTCATTTACCAATATTATCCAGCGAGCAGTGAAAGTAAAGCATAGACATAAATTACGGCTACACTCCTTTTGCTATCCTTCGCCCAATGGTGTCAGATTGTTTATGGTGGCTTTTTGCCAGGGTGAATTTCCTCCCGCCAAGAATTGAGGGATGAAAAAAGAAACATACACAGGAGATAAAGGAGGTGCTGCGGGGGAAATGAGTGCGACGGGGTGGCTTTTGGAATAAAAGAGGCACACACAGGAATCCTATTTGAACGGTGTATTGAATGCCATTTGAGTGTCACACAAAAGGACCAAGAAATATGGGGGGAACGAAGGGTGACACGTGACATTTCACAGATGAACCCGAAAAATGGTTTCTTCGATATTCTATAATGCGATATTTTCCGTATATTTAATAGTGGGCGCCCGCTTCTATCGTTGTCATTTGACGCAACACACGGAGATTTAATCGACTGTGAAATTTTCCGAACTCAAAAGACACCCTCATCCCCTTTTCCCCTTTGCATTTTGGTGTGTGTGGGTTTTTGGCTGTCTCTGGACTGTCGGATAAACACAAGGAGCAAATCGCAAAGCGACTTTTGAGGAAACTTTTAATGTTTTCTAATCAAATAATCAATTTAAAAAAATTGATTAAATCACATCAAATAGTCGAGTCACTCCTGGTTTTATTTCATTGCATCGCCGAATACAATTTTTCTTCTCACACACTCTCACTTTTGGCACGATGCTATTGCATAATATATTGGCTGGGTTAGCGTGATTGTGACCAATGAAAATTGCACTCTCATGCAACAAGATTGCAATTCACTGGGAAATTGCAATTGTCCCGCGGGACAAGACGGGAACAGCGAGGGTGTCTCGGTGGAAATCCTTCATGACCTGCATTGATCCAAGTGATTGGGAAGAAAGGTTTGCAATTAAAAAGCATTTTCCACCCCCTGAACACGTGCTAGAGGGATAAAGAATGCATCAGACTAAATGGGATTGAAGGCTAGGGAAATTGATCATTGTGAGAGTGAAAATATCTCCGAATTTTTTTCAAGATTTTCTCTACAACAAAGCACAAATTTCTTCTCACACAGCATGTGTTAATTTTAATTACACTCTCTTGCATGTGGAGATGAAGAACTATATAGGGACTCCAAGGGGGAGATATTGTGGTTGGATTTGCACTGAAAAAGCTTCAATCAAAAGTCAATTCCAGGATTTAAACATATTTTTAGGCGAAATTCATAACCTCACAATTTATTCAGAATTGTTTTTCAAGCATTTTCTGAAGATTAACCATTGGAAAATGCCATTTTTAAGGGCGCTAAGGAGTGTCTGGAAGTGTTGAAGATTCTGCAGAGGAATTGTGGCAGTGTTTTCAGCCATAATTTCTCCCCCTTGATGAACTCCTTCGCATCCACTCATGGGGGCGTAATTATAAGAAGTCTAAGAGTCATAAGAGAATTCCTTTTGATGTTACTCTTCTCTCATGGGAATTTCTGTAGAATTTTTCCTCTTTGACTCCATTGCTTTTCCCCCCATCTGCAGAGCCACTCACTCTCTCTCACTCTGTTCAATTAATGCTCCACACACGCTATCTCTGTGCCCCTTCAACCCTCGCCATCAGCGATAAAATGTTTTACAAGAAGTGTGTTGAGCAGTTTTTGCCGTGACATTTTCATTCACCTCCGCATTCATACCCTTCACAAACTTCATGGTAGACAGAGAGTTAGGAGCCAAAGGGGAGGATAATATGGTTGGAAGTGGTGTACACTTTCTTGCGGAATTGTTTTTGGTAGTGTTGAGAAGTGAAAGTGTTCTAAAATGCAATTTAATTGCACAAATTTGAGAAATTCATCCCATTTTTCATGATTTTCTTTCCTCTTGGATGACAATAAACATGCGAAAATATTTATTTTTCACCTCTAAATTGCTTTTACACACAAAGAATCTTTAATTTTCTGAATATTTTAATGAAATTTTAAAAATAATTGTGAATATTTTGATTCAATAATTAAAAAAAATTATTCTTTTTATTATTTAATTCAGTATTTGATTATTGAGATTTTTTGTATAATTTTTTTTTGGGAAAATAACAATATTTTTCAATCGTTTTTCAATTTTATTTGGGAAAATATTCATTTTTTTATTATTTAATTCAGTATTTGGTTATTTTAATTTTTTCTTGTTATTTAATATGGAAAAAATAGTTTTTCTCAATTATTTTTCAATTTTATTTGAGAAAATCTTAATTTTTAAAATTATTTTATTCAAAATTTGTTTTTTTTTACTTTTATTCAGAAAAATAATCAATTTTTGATTATTTTACAAAAAATAATAGATTTGTTGTACAGATTTCAGGCAAATTATCCCCACCTTGGCGAGGAGGATTTTACCAAGCTAAAGAGAGAGAGAGAGGCAAAATTCTGTACCTATTTTCATGGTAACTCACCCGACAAAGGAAGGTTGATGAGAAAAAGTTTAATTAATCACAGAAGAAATGAAGAAAAGTATTTTTGTTCCATGGAAAGCTTTAGAGATAATTTATTAATGCTTCTGACAGTTTTCTGATTGCAACAACGCAACTTCAAGTATTTTCCCATTTAGCACAGGGACATTGCAAAAAGCATTCGCCCAGGTACAACCTCTCACTCTCCCTCTCTCACTTCTCATTATAAATGATGGACGATGGCAAGGAAATGCTTCTGTGGCGATGGAGAAACTAAAGTAATGGGAAGAAAGCAAGTACCAAAGTTCAATTCACTCCATTGTTTATAATGCACTGCAACTTCCATTGAAGTGACATGAAGTTTTAATGACATTATTTCTGGAATAGAGTGCACATTTGAATAGGGGAAAATACCCACTATACAGATATAATACAAACGTAGGAAAAAATTCTCAAACACTTAGATACAATTTTGATATATAGTGGCGGGACCTTCTCCCTCCAGTTAGATCCTCGCTGCGTTCTCTGTTCCTACAACGGGCACGTCCGTGTTCACCAGCGATCGCTCTCTCGCGGGTTCTCTTCGGACTAATGCTGCAACGAGGATCGAATCGGAGGGGGAAGGTCCAACCTTATTACTAGCCACAATTTAAATCTACATCATAAATGCTATGTCAAAGGCAAATATTACAATAATTGTTATAATTTAGTTTTATACAAAAGCTTTCAGCTTGGCTTTTGCCATGCAATAACGTCAAAAAAAAAAACACAAAAATGTAAAAACAAAGAGCAAGAAGTGTAGCATAAATCAATTAGTGCTTTGGAGTAGTGAGTAATCCATTAGAACTAACATGTGAATCATGCAATTCCATGCTGGGGGGGGAGGGAGGGGGTGGCGAATAGATTGTCAGACAAGCACAGAATGCTTTGGGTTGTGTGTGCGCGCGAGATGGTGGGAAAACAACGAGAATTTATAAGAGAATTTTGCACATGATTGATGAACCTTGCATGGGCTAGTGTTTGTTTTTTTTTCTCCTCGTGAGGCCCCAGCAAAAGGGAGACAGATACAATTATTTATTTATCCATGGGTACTATGAATGAGTGACCATACACCTTGTCTGGGTGAATTTGTAAAAACCTCCTTCATGGCTTTTCCACCGTGTCGATGCGAATCGGCGGCATCCGTGGAGCTTTTATATCAATTTGACGCGATGAAGTTGAATGTGTGTGTGTGTGTGTTGTTGTTCTGATAAACCATCAGATAAAATCCCTAGGTGCTCAGTAGAGCCAAAACCCTCACACTGAATCCCCGACTCGATGCCACTTTGTAGCAACAACAAATGAAATGCCACGCGATGGGGATGAGCTTTTCCCAAAAAGCACTTCAAATACCATGGCAAAAGACCAAAGGGATAATCAATCCGAACTTTCAGACCACTAACCATCTTGATTCTTATTCAAATTTTGATTCTATTCCATAAAATTTGCAGTAATTTTAAGAAATATGACAGAAAATATTCAAAAATTTCATATATCTTTTCAATTTTTCTGATTTATTAATACACAATTTTACGTTTATTTAATATTTGATTTTTTTCCTCACATACTACAGTCAGGTGATATTTTGGCTTCCCCCACGCCAACTTTGCTGCCTTCTGGTGGCGATATGTGGAGAATATAATCGAATATTACAATTTTTAAATACATATTCAGTAAAAATATTCAATTTTTGTTTTATTTTGCAAATTTAACGGTAGAAAATGGAAATTTTTTCCATAATATATATTTTTAAATTTAGATTTTTTGATTTTTCTATAAAAAATTATAAAAAAATAAAGAGATATTTAATTGAAACAATAGAGATTCCTCAAAAATCGCCATGAAAGACCCCTTGGAGGAACGAGTGAGTGGGAAGCTCGTGTACTATATCCAATTTTTTGCCCATCCAATCCACCCCCACCAGAATTATCCCACCCCCCCCCCACACACACAGAATGGGGACAGAGAGACCATCGAATATAACATACAATATTCTGTTCTCGTGCGGATTTAGAAATGCAATATATGATGGCAAATACCGCATCCCAATCCAACCCCTTCCACACTTGGGGGTATAGTTACTCCTATGGTTTGTAATGTGAAAATATCGCCGAGCACTCGCCGCCCCCCCCGAAAACCGCAATAGAATTTTCCACTTGCTACCCGTCGTTGTGCCCGTACAATAGCGATATATTGTA